GAGCGGTTGCTCCCTTGTCAAAGGACATGCAAGTGCCACCCAGAAGGAATGACACTCAATGGATCTGACAGAGCCTCTGGATGGGCCCCCTGGGCAGCCTCTCCGAAGATCAGGGGCTGCTGGGCAAAGAAGCAGGGACAAGCGTTTCAAGCAGAGAAATGCCACATGCAAGGCTGAGGGGCAGGTATCTGAGGGCCTGGCCGGCATTTGGGGACCATGCAGGTTGGGGAGAGAGGCAGGCTGAAAAGGGAGCAGGCATGAGGGTTTCAAATGTTTTGATGGATCCTGGACGCCGTGGGGAGAGCAACAACAAAATCATTTTGTGTTCTTAAGGGACTAAAGAGCATGAGCCAAAAGTCTGGATGAGGATGACGTCAGAACCAGGACAGGGCTTTTTGGGGTAGATAGACAGCAGTGGGTGAGATCAAAGAGACAAATCCAAGGTCTGAGTGAGCATGGCGAGAGAAGGAAGAGCTGAGAATGACCCCCAGGGTTGTAGTGGGGGACAAAGTTAGTAAGCAGGGGGAGAGAAGGTGACATCTCTGACGTCTAACACATAGGAAGAACAGGGTATTGGGGAAAATGATGGAGTCAGGTGCCAGAAGGATGTCTAGGGACTGATGTCTCAGAGGCAGCAGCTACCACTGAGCACATCTTTACGCCAGGCGCTGGGCTCTGTGTTCACCATCCTTGAACCTTCCAAGAAGCCCCTCTCCCTCCCGCCCTGTATCACACTGTCTTTTCTCTCCCACTCTCTCTCTCCACTGCTGCTTCTAGCATCATTTCTGTGACAGGGGAGGTCAGCAGCCTGCCAGAAGGAAGACCAGAATTTCATTCACATTTAGCGATCACTTTCTAAGTAACATCCTCCTTCTCCACTGAGGGTGCTTCCAAGTCACTGAGTAAACAGAAGCACTGGGCAGAGAACATTCACAAGCCCCCCCGGGCCGCCCATGCAGCCCTCCCTCCTCTGTCCTGGAAGAATGCCTGTGCTCTCCACAGAAACAATTTGTTACCTTGTACTCTGGATCTCAATATCACTTTTCTCTCTTTACTGGATAATTAACAAACACAGTTGTTACTACCGCTCCCATTGTTAAAAACAAAACACCTCATTCTCTGCAGGCTTTTCTAGTAGAGCTGTCTGCATTTGCCCTGTGTTCCCTCCCAATCTCCCTCCACCATCCACCCCATGCCGCCCGCCCCAAAGGCAGTCCCCACTCCTCAGGACACTGGGCACACTGGTTCTCTCCTCCTGCCTTTCTCATGGGGCTCTCAGGACCCTGCACTCTCACACCCTTGCCCACCGGCAGCTCCTTTCACTCTGTGGTGCTGCTTCCCCCACACTTCCAGCCTCAACTTCTCTAATGATGAGTCCACCAGCTCAATCTTTGGGCCCCTCCCCTCTGTCTGCACTTACGTCCATGGAGATCTCACCCAGCCTCAGGGCTTCAAATGCCTCCTCTACACTGATGCCACTGGACTCTCTAGCCTTGATGTCTCTTCTAAACCATAGACTCCTCCGTCTACCTGCTTTGGCCACACCTCCACCTGTTGCTAACAAACATTTAATGTAACCCGTCCAAAACCCAGCTCCTGACACCTCAACTTGCTCTCACAGTCTTCCCTATCTCAGCAGATAGCAAATCCATCTTTCCAAAAATCCTGGACTCAATCTCAATTCCTTTCTCTCTCGTCCCTTACCTGATCCTGATCCTGCTGCTCTACCTCTAAAACACACTCAGACTCTGACCACTTCTCACTACTTCTAGGGCCAGTGCTGTGGTCTGAGTCCGGAGTTCTGGTCATCTCTGGCCTGGATGATCACAACAGCCTCCTCATTGGTTTCCCCGCATCTCCAACCCTGACTAACATGCTCCAAATGTAAATTCCATGAGGGCAGGGGTTTTTGCATTTTCTTTGTATCCTCAGAGCCTAGAACTGCTCATGGCACAGAGATGACACTTAACAAATATTTACTAAGTGAAGGAATGAAGAAACCAATGTCAGGCCCTATGACTAAACCATAGCAATGCTGCAATCAAGGCAGCGAGGTATCTGCTCTTGTGAAACTTACATTCTAGCGAATAAAGACAGACCCTTAACAAGTGAGGCAATAACCAAAATCATTCCAAATATCGGTAAGTCCTATGAGGTTAATACCAGGGCTAGGTGAACACTTCCAGAATGGGGCTATTTCAGATAGGGTGGATTGGGAAGGACCCTTTGGGTAAGTCATTTAAGCTGAGGTCTGAATGATGAAAGAAGGCACCATGCAAGGCAGTCTGGAGGGAACAGCAACTGCAAAGGCTCTGAGGCAGAAAAAGAAGCCTGGTACAGCTGAAGCTCAGGGAACAGTGGGGAGAAGGGTATGAGATGCGACAGAAGGGGAAGCAGCTAGACCTTGCAGGCTTTAGTAAGCTGTAAAGTCAGATCCGTAGCCCATGCTCTCACCTGCCAGGGCACTGTTTCGTTGTTTTTTTAACCAAAGCCTGACCCTGGGTACCACTTACAACAGAATCACCTGGGGGTGCTCAAAAAACGCTGATTTCTGAACCCTACTCCCGATCTCTCCCCACTGGAATGTCAGTTCTGGAGAGGCAGGGCATGATTTGGCCACTCCTAAAGCCCCAGCATCCATAGTGCCTGCTTTGCATTAAGCGCTCAATAACTACTTGTTGAATGAACGAATGTCTCCTGAATCAGAAACTACAGATAGCTCCCAGAACCTCATTTTACCCGTGACTTCAGCACCTCCATTTCTACCCCAGAAAAGGGGACTGGCCTGCATGTAAAGCTCCAGGGGCTCCGGCCTTTCTTTCGGTGGTAACGTAAGCCCAAGCGTGCCCAGGTGGGGATGGAAGACGGGTCGGTCCCCCCGATCTTGCCGTGACTCAAGCGGCGGGGGGTGGGAGGACCCTCCAACCTCACCAAGGTTTCGGCGTCGCCTCCCGCCCTTAGGAACCAGACCTCCGAGCAGCTGCGCTTAGCGGGCTGGGGCCCGGGGGAATCTAGCTTCCCGACGGGCCACCCCCATGCCCGGAGCCTTCAGCGACTCCTACAGTACCCCGTGAGCGCCCCCGAATCGAAGATCACCCAGTCGGGCCCGGTTGCAACGCCCACCCGCGCGAACCTGCACTCGCCTTCCCTCGTTGAGACAGCCTCGTTCACCCAGGAGACAGGGACTTCCTGCTCTCGGCGGAAGCGGAACCCCTTCTCCTCCCCTCATGTCCCACCCACCCACGGCCGGGACCGCCCCGTGAACAGGCCCCGCCTCCTCTAGCGTCTTTGTGCGCATGCGTACTCTCATTTCGGGGGCCCGGCGGGAGTTGCGCAGTGCGCCTGCGCGAGGGCTCGATTGCGTCTGACTGTCACCGCGCAGGAGAGCACTACTTCTGGTCAGTTCCTAGGAGTGGCAGTTCCTGCGTTTCGGGGGCTGTGGGCCGAGCCATCCCAGCGCGGGAAAGGCAGCCTTGCCCTCGGTCGCTACATCTTCCTTGGGGATGTCTTATTTATCTTTCCGCATTCAAGCCCCAGACCCTTAAGCCCACCTAGGTCTCCCCAACGTGGGACATTCCAATATCCCGGTGCTAAGGGATACTGCAAATACTCGTATGGCTGAAGCAGGATGAGGAGAAGCTTGTAAGACGCTCTCCCAAACTTTTAACTAGAACCTGCGAATTTTATTACAATTCAGGTTCTGGTTCATTAGGTCGGGAAGGGGGCCTGGAAGTCCGCCTTTCCAACTAGCTTCACAGTGACTTAACATGCTGCTGGTCTGGGGACCACACTGAGATTATAATAGAGGTTGGATAGGCAGGCAGGGGCTGGGGCGGGGAGTGGGTGGGTGGGAAGCAGAGAGGGAACGAGGTTCCACAATTCCCACAATTTGGTGAAGAGGCGGGACATAAACATTAAGGATCAATTACCACACTATTCAGTGCGGCGGGGGAGGGGAGGGCGGGGAGGGAGAGGAAAGTGTGGCTCTCTGAGAGCATATGGTAGTGGAGAGGGTTGCCAAACTAGTCTGAGAGGTTAGGGAGGGCTGCTGCCCAAGTTGGAATCCAAAGCCTTAGTAGGAGTTACGTAGATAGAAGTAGCACCCCTAAAATTTATGATGGAGTAGAGGAGAGAGGAGAGTCAAGGATGAGTCCTGTGGAGCCCTGGGTTCTGCCTCATTCAGATGAGGAAGGCTCAGGGGAGATGATTTGGAGAAGTCAAGGACTGTGTTTTGGATAAGTTTGAGACAAGCAAGCAGAGGTATGGAATAGGCCATTGGAAATGGAGTCTGGAGCTCAGGAGAAAGATCCGGATTTGATTTTGAGAGTCATTCGTATATGGGGATTATTGGAGGCCTTGGGGTCAGAGGAGGCCACCTGGTTTCAGGGGTACGGGGCAAAATATAGCAAAAGAAGAAAGCTGAGAAGGAGACAGGGGTTTCCCAACTTTAGAAGTTAGGAGGAGAAGCCAGCAAGAGACTGGGCAGGCCAGTGAGGTAGGAAGAGAAAGAAGTGCGTTTCATCTCTGAGAAGCCTCCAGAAGAAGGTATTTCAAGACGTAAAGAGTGGTCAGCTGTGTCGTATGTGCCTGGGAGTTTGAGTAAGATGAGGAAAGAGAATTGACCATTGACACTGGCAAGGGTTTGGTCACTGGTGACCTAGATAAGAAAATAACTTGTAATGAGATGTTTGTCAAATAGACCTATCTCCAAGATTTCCACTAGGGGGCAGTATTTCCCTTGGAAGGATCACCTCAGTGCTGGTGCAAACCTGGACACACACAAGATGAGATTATACTATGGACGTTGCCTCGAACCTTGCTATTTCCACTTAAAACTGTATGTCAATATTCATACAGTGAATTAGTAGCTACACAATTCATGGTGTGACTGTGCCATGATATATGGGCAATCCTATATTTGCTGGTGATTGCCAGGTTCTCCCTCCCTCTCTCCCATCTCTTCCTCCCTCTTTTCCTCCATAGCTTTATTGAGATATAATTGACAGACAATAAACTGCATGTATTTAAACTATGAAATTTTGTATCTTGACATGCATACATCTGTGAAGCCATCACCACAATCAAGATAGTGAATGTTTCCATCACCCCAAGAAGTTTCCTCATGTCTCTTGGTAGTCAGTTCCTTCCCTGCCCCCCAGTCCCTGGCACCAACTGATCTGGTTTTAGTTCCTATAGCTTTGTATTTTTCAGGAAGTCACATAAACAGAATTATACAATATGTAGTTTTGAGTTTGGCTTCTTTTACTCAGCTTACTACCTTTGACTCATCCATGTTGTGTCTACCAGTAGTTCGTTCCTTTTTATCATGGAGTTGTATTCTGTTATGAGGGTATACCAACTTATTTAGCCTTTCAACTATCGTTGGACATTTGGGCTGTTTCTAGTTTTGAGGCAATGATAAATAGTGCTACTATGAACCATTTTCATTCAGATTTTTGGGGAGATGTTCATTTTCATCTTACACTCTTTTATTTTTACACTGAAATATGTGATCCCTCTGGAATTTATTCTTGTATATGGTTAGATGTAGGGTTTAGGCTCTGGCTTCTTCCGGGCAAATTGACCTGGCAAATTATACATTTTCTGTGACAGTGCAGTGCCACCTTTAACCCACATCATGTTCTTGTGTTTTCTTGAGTTCCTTTCTGGATTCCCTCTGGATGTTTTCCCAGAGCAAATGTCATGCTGTTTTGATGACAGTGCATTTTGCTCTTTGCCGAAGGCAGGTCTTCCACCTTCTTAATCATGATTCTTGGCCTTGGAAGCTGTTGAGGAGGTAGGTATGGTCTGACTCACTGGTGACAACCTGCTTGCTGCATGAGGGGGCTGGTGCCAGTCCCAGCACCTGGTGTGAGGAGTGGAGGGGGCTAATATCCATGGAGATTGAATCAGATGTGGTTGCTGGGGAAGAATGAGAAGAGATGAGTCCCAGCGACTGGCCTTGAGGAACTCTGTCATCTTGTTCCTTGCAATTGAGAAAACGTCTTTTTAATGATGGCCGTGTGCTGGTTAGCGTTGTCCCCTCTGAGGGCAAGTGTCCACCCTGCCTTAATCTTTTTGATGATCCTTGCGTCCCCAGCTATCGGGTACAGAACTTGGGCAGCAGTGCTTGGCCGTTGTGGAGGAGGAGGCCAATCGCCCTCCCTGCCACTCATTCCCTTTGTCAGCTTAGATGTGTCACTTCTTTCCATTCCACACTCTGGGTCCTGTGAACAGGGACATTGGGCTAATTCCACGCTCTGGGCCCTGCAAATGGGGACATTGGGCTGACCTCTGAATCAGACTCCTGCCTGCCTAGAGCCTCTGAGTCAGTGGGAAGAGGCAGAGTGGCTGTGAGCTGCTTTGATTATTGCGGTTAAGAGTGAGGGTCTGCCACTTCCTGGGCATGACCTTGGTCACTTCATCTGTCCAGTGTCTGTAATGTCCTTTGAGGAGCAAGGATGACTATGGCCCGTGCCTCATGGGTCAGGATTAGAAGTGATGGTGGGTTTTTTTGCATAGAACTTGGCTGGTAGTAATGCCAGCCGGGTAAATGTCAGCTGGAAGGAACCCAGGGCTGGCCTTTTGGTAGTAGAGCTTTCCTTAATTTTAACAGTAACACGTGCACCTTGTAACAGTTTCAACACTATGGACATCTCTAAAGTAGTGAACAGAAGGTGCCACTTCCACTGAGTCCCTCTCTCCAGCAGTAACCTCAGTTACATTTTGTCCAGGTTGCTATTTTGTTTCACTCAGCCGGGCTGGCAGTCCCTGTCCTATAGCAGCCGAAGTGGCAGTTGAAGGCGGGCCAAGGGAGAGGTTTCGGTGACTCGCCTTGCGCCGGGTGCCTCAGGCTGTCTGTGGGTGGGTATTACTCAACTCTCCCCACAGGGGAACTGGGCTTCTCTGCAGTTTTGAGCTCAGGGTGCACATTCTGCTTTCAGTATTCATCATAAGAAACAGGCCTTGAAATAATTCCACTTCTAGATGTTTTCCTACATACTCACACAGATGTATAAAAATGCAGGTCCAGGGATGCCCACTGTAGCTATGTTGGTAAAAGGGAAAGATTGAAGATGATTTCGGCGGGCCCCAGCAAGGAGCCAGGGACATAAATGGAAGGTCTGTGGCTGTTAAAAAGGACAGTCCTGCTCTTGGGAATGTATTGTTTATCCTACAAACATACCTGCCCATGTAGGAAACAGGTGCAGGGTCAATTATTGCAGCATCACCTGAGGAGAACAGAATTATTGGAAGCAACTTGGCAACCCTTGGGAGAGGGCTAGTTAGATAGGCAGTGGGTCAGGCACACAGCGGGGACTCTGTAGCTGCAGAAAGAGTCAGAAGCCACCAGGGCTGATGAGCAGGTCTCCTGGTGTAACGGGCTGAAACAGAAAAGTGCAGAGAACACCTTTGGGGGTATGGGGTATACTTATATCTTGATTGTGGTAGTGGGTTTGTGGGTGTGTGTCTTTGTCAAACTTATGGAACTGTACACTTTAAATGTTAACTACACCTTACTAAAGTTGGTTTTAAAAAAAAACACAACGAAAAAGCAAGGTGCAGATCAGTGAGAAAGGGAAGAAAAACAATTCATATTTGCTTTTATTTGCATAGAAACACTGCCAGGAAACAAAGCATTTATAAAAAGTTCTTTTTAGAGGAGGAGGGAAAGTCAGGGAGTGGGGAAGAGATTTAACCTTCTTATAAACTTTAGATTTTCCAGCCATATGACAGTGTAAGCAATTCCGTGTTGAAAATAACAAAGTGAATGTTCTGTTATGAACAGTTGAGTTGTGGTTTAGTAGGAAGAGTTGTGGTTAAGCAGAAAGAACAGGTGCAGAACTGTGTGGATACTGTGTTGCTTTGTGTAAAAGAGGGAGGATGTTTTTATTATGAAGGCATCAATTGTGGAAGAAAAGCAAATGAGGGCAGTGGCTGCCCCTGGGGAGGTGGGCATGGGAGAGGAAGGCTCACTTCCTGTCATGCCCTTTTTTTCTGTATAGTCTTTACTTAAAATCACATACACATATGGGGCCAGTTGGTTGTGAATGGGGTTAAGAGATGGAAGTGCAGGCCAGCAAGGCGGAGAGCCAGACACTCTCAAACCCAGGTGATGCAGCTCACCAGAGAGGCGAGGAGAGGGACTCTGGTGACACACACACATTTAGTCTTGCATCTATTTTTTTATTGAACATTTGGCAGTGACAGAGGGATGTGAGGTTTAGGAGCATTTTTGGTTTTTCCTTCCTGCTCATCAGTACCACAGGCCCCGGAGAAAGACTGCCGAGGGGTGGGGTCCCAGCAAGTAAGCCTGTCCGCCTCAGGCCCCCTCACAAGCGCTGGAACCTGGCTCGCCTTGGCAGCCTGGTCTTGAAGAGGGACTTGCCGGAGGCCTCAATGTAAGTGATGCTCATCTCTTTGGGGCTGATCTCCACGTAGGCGAAGCCGCCCAATGAGTTCTCGGCTCCATAGTGGAAGCGCAGGTAGCCGTTGGGGACCTTGCGGAAGTGCTTCTTCGAGGGGTCCATGAAGTTCCCAGCCCCACTCAGTATGAAGCCCAGGCCGTTCTCATCCTGAAGGTACTGTGGACGGAGGACCCAGGGTCAGTGAGTCCCCAGCTCCTCAGTGAGGTCTGCCACGGGCTTCGCGCCCACCTGTCTTGAGTCCAGGGTCTCAAGTGGTCCCTGACCATTGAGTCACCTTGGGCAAGGAACGTAACCCCCTCTGGGCCTCAGTTTGCCTACCTGTCGGAGTGTATTGATCCTACTTCATGAGTCTGCACTGAGTAAGCTATTGGCAATTGGTAGGTTTATGGAGAACTCTGTGCTGTTTTCTGGTCACAGAACATAGAGTCTGAGGGAGAGCGACATTTGGGAGACCCCCAAACAGCAGGAGAATCCCAATGTGCTATGTGGCACACTGACCAGGGTGGAGATCCCTTACCTAGCTCCCCACCTCACCCCGCCTGCAGGCCCCTCACCTGCAGGTTGTGGTCATGGCCACTCAGATAGGCAGTGACCTTGTAAGTGGCCATCAGTGGCAGCAGTTGACGGACCAGGCAGTGGGTGGGCCCATGCTCGGCAATGGACCACACGGGGTAGTGGCCGGCCACCAAGACGTAGTCCTCCTTGGCCGCCGCCAGCTGCTTCTTGAGCCAGGACAGCTGTGTGCGAGCCATATTCAGGTCTCGGGGCCTCTGCGGCTGCTGGCTGAGGAAGTCATCTGAGTTGCCACACAGCGTCACTGTGTCCAGCATGAAGATGGCCACGGTCACATTGGACCGTGGGATCTTGAAGTGCAGGCGGTAGTAAGGGCTGGGGAAGTTCCTGTGGTTGGACAGAGGTGGTGGGCACACGTGTTGGGTGGAGAGGCCCCGGGGTCAGCTCAGGCTCGTGGTCCCATCCGTCCACCTGAGCGAGGCTTGGGGGATGGGGCAGACTCACCAGCGTTTGGAAATCCTGGAGTACGCGATCTGTGCTGACACATTGCCCAGGTGGTCGTGGTTGCCAGCCAGCACGTACCAGGGCACGCTGCGGATGGACGGGGCGGAGAACACATCCTCAAAGGTCTCCTGCAGCCAACAGAAAGGGCACCCCCACTTCAGGGTCGAGCAGCTACCCCGAAGCTCCCACCAAGTCAGGAGCCGGGGACAAGAGAGACACGGAGTGCTCTAGGTCCCTACAAGTGTCTGCTTCCCTCTGCCATCTTCAGGTCTTCAGAGTCAAAAGGTCGAGTGGCTTCTCTACATGTCCCCTCCCCCCACTCCAGTGGTACACACCTGGAACCTCTTGTCATTGGCATCCTGCACTCCAGTGAAGTAGAAATTGTCCCCCAGCGACAGGATGAAGTCCGTACCCAGGATCTTTGCGGTCCTGGCAATCTCCTTGGCATTGGCCGTTTCCCGGGCTGTGTAGAATGGGGCGTTGGGGACCCCGCCCCAGTCACCCACGGCCACAAAGCGGAGGATGGGGGCAGTGCTGTCAGCCAGGGGGAGCACCAGCGCGGCTTGCAGGATGAGCAGCACCCTCCTTGTGTCCATCTGGGAGGGGAGACACAAGTGTCTGGGCGCCTGGCGCTGAGGCCGGGGCAGCAGGCTCTTGAGGCTCCCACTTGCCCTGCCGTGGCCCAGCGGGAAACCCTCGGGGGTGCCCTAGTTCCCAGGGCTTCAGGGGAAGGGTTGGCAGGGTGGGTGAGCAGGCAGGCGGTGTCCAGCCAGGGGCCAGGAAGGGTGACCATGCAGGCTCATTCTGCCCTCCCTCATCCCGGGCCCAGCACTCACCCTGGCAGAGGCACAAGCCAGTCAGCTAGGCACTGCAAAAGGCAGGTGAGTTCCAGGAATGAACTGGCAAGGGTCACTGAGCCTTTATGCTGTGGGGCGGAAATGGATCATTAGTGAGGATGATGCAGTTTCTCCGAGGATTGTTTCAGAAGCCCTCCCCTTGGGTCATGTGAGCTCTGGAGTTCCTCAGCACTGGACCAGGATTGGGGTGGGGGTCTGGCACACGAATGTGGCCCCTCCTACACTCACAGCCTCTGTCTGCCCACCCAAGCTTGTGTCATGGGTCCGAGGTGCCTGTTATCTGCCTGTGTGGTGTATGCCTTGGCCAGGCACGCGTCTTGTGTGTCCGTGTTTTCTGAGGACGTGTTTGTTGGCCCGTGTCTGGGTGTGTCGGAGCTGCTTTCTGTGTGTAGCCAAGCGTGCCTGCCTGGGTCACATGTCTGCTGTGTGCCTGGGAGTCCTGTGTAGATGTGTACACTGAGCTGACAAGGTCCGTGTGGTGTCTGTGATGTGTGACTGAATTCTCAACTGAAACTGTGTGGGACGATGACTTGTGTGTCTGTTTTGTGCCTGGGTCGTGCTGTGTGTCTGTGCTGCGTCTCTAACGCGAGTTGTGCGTATGGTGTGTGTGGCGTTTGACAATATCTGAGTATGTGTCCCAGGGTCATTCCCCTCCCCCAGACAGCAGGGTCTCCCTTTTCCAGGAAGTCCTGCCCACACCTTCCTCTCCTCCCCACCCCCATTCCTTCAGGAGGAACCCAGGCAGGAGGCAGCTGATGACGGGACATGTGACCATAGGCTTTTGACCCTCACACCCTCAGCAGCTGCCTGCAGGCTCTCCAAGTGACCCCAGCCCCTGAGGGTAGGTGAGCAGGCACCTGGGCAGTGGGGCCCCTGCACGTGTGGCCTGACCTGCCCCTCACCTCTCTGCTTTCCTTCTCCCTCCTTGATTCAACCCCTACACACACTCTCCTTCCTGCAGCCGCTTGCCAGGGTAGATGGGGGGCCCCTCATTCGACCTCTGGGTCTCCCAGCACCCGCTGGTTGTTTGTCCCTCTCATTCCCACGGCCCAGACAAACAGGAAGTGGGTCACGAGGACAGGCGGAGAACCCTCCCCCGGGGACGCAGGAGCCTGCGTCTACACCCGCGGAGCCGGTCTCACCTGCGATTTATGAGGCCCGGGATTAAGGTCACGGCCAGGCTCCGGAGCCAGCCAAGCTGAAGTGAGGGGCGCTTGCAAAGCCAGGCTTTCAGGTGCAGAGGCCCAGCCGCCCTTCCCGTGGGCCTGGGGCCGGCTGGGGAGAGTGACCTCTGAGGCTCAGTGCTCCCCACCTGGCCGCGCCCCGGAATCCTGCCTTGCCACCCGGCGCCGCCACGCCTCTGGGCGCAGGCAGTGCATCTGTAAAATGGGGTAACGCACCCTGGAGGGCAGCCCAGACCCAGTGATCGAGAGGGCGGGGTGTGGGGTGGCTCTGGAACCGGATTTCCTTTCTTCCCCCTGCATGGGCCCAGAGCCGCCACTTGCCTTCACACTTGGGGCACCACAGTCCCGATCCAGCTCTGCGTGGGGCCTCACCACGTGCTGGGCCACCCTCTAATGAGGGGGTCTGTTGTCTTCAACCTCAGTTTCCTGCTCTTTAAAATGGGTGTGAAGGCGAATTTCAAATCTTCCTTGCAAGGAATTCGAAATCACTGGAAGTTGAAAGGCCCCTCCTTCTGGGAGCCGGAACTCAGTCCTTCCTGCCTTCCTTTGAGTGTGTGGACTGAGGGTTGGGGGTCGGTGGTGGTGAGGGGGGTCTCATTTGACTCATCCAATGAATAAAGTATGTAAAAGCAAAAGATGGGAACTTTACAATGGAGACTTCTGGCAGACGCCAACCTAATCCCATGGTCCAGGCTAACATGACAGTTCTAAGCCTCCTTGACGTCCCCGTGAAGGGCACCTCACCTCTGGGTTTCTTCCAGCAACCTGTAACGACGGGCTAATGATGACAGCAATACCAGATGCACCCAAATTGAGAAATAGTCTACAGAAGGCCTGGCCAGTACTCTGCAAAAATGTCCCAGTTATGAAAAGGAAAAGGTTTGAGGAGCTGTCACAGACTGGGTGAGACCCAACAGACATGAGGACACAATGAAATGTGAGATCCTGGGCCCGAAAAGGGGCACTGGTGTGAAAACTGGGGACACCCAAATAAAGCCTGGAGTTTTGTGACTTGTAACACAACTAAGAGACATAATTTCTCAGTAATGCAAGTGGATCATGGTTCTAGAAGATGTTAGCCATATTGGAAACAGTGAGAAGTATATCGAGTTCTTTGCACTACTTTTTGTAACTTTTCTGTAAATCTAAAATTATTCCCAATTAAAATAGTTTACTTTGAAAAAGCGCATGATCCAAGAAATCGAAAAATGTATTCAACATGCATTGAGCACCCACTGTATGCCCAGTACTGGCTGACACAGCAGTAAACAGAACAGACGGGAAAACCCGCCCTGCTGGGGCTGACAAGCAAGAGAAATTTATATTCTAACTGTTAACTACTCTCCTTTCT